TTCTAGCAATAATTCCAACAACACTCTCATGTGAAGCATCTTATTCATGGCACCTTTGAACACTGAACAATAAAAAAGACAAGCAGGGAAAGCAACAAGGCAATATCTTATCATTCTTGGAAATAGTTAACTTGGGCAGAATGAAGTTTCTGCTTCTTCCTAGCCATCATTCTTCACTGGATTTCGTTCTTTCTTTTGGTTGGACAATATTAATTCATATTCACCTAAGCAACTTCTATGTTTTAATGGGAAGTCTAAACTCCAAAGTAAGCCATTTTCCTCGGGATTTCCACTTTCATTTGCTAGGATGCAGTTTGAAATAGCTTTTGTAAACAACCTCCTTTATGAATATATAAGTGGTTTTAGAGACAAAAAAGAAGTGACAATATACATGATCTATGTTTAGTCTCACACACATGTTCTTCAACCATTTTTTATCCTGTTGGTTGGCTCACTCAAGACATGCTAAGGTAGTTCATATCCTGCAAAGGTGAGTTGTAAGGCAGCTTAGAAGAAACTTCAATTTTTGAGGTTGATAATCTCAGAGGCTTAAAAAAAGTGCATCTTCACAAGAAAAAAAGCAGTACACAACCAAATGGGTTATGTGGGACAAAGAATGAAATACATATATATGATGAAAAATGTAGTAAAGGATGCAATTATAGTATGCAAAGAGAAAGAAGTGACAGCCTAAATATTCCATATACTTTAGCAAGAAGTCAGGAACTCAAAAAATGGACCTGGCTTTAGTTAATTAATTCCGATTATGTGTAAAGGTCAAACTGAATATTCATGTTTGTTCAATTTTCTCAGAAAATTCACTAAAACCTTCATTATATCAAAACTTATGGGTCAAGACCAATTATTCAAAGAAAAAAGAAAAAAAAGTGAAGGAACCATGAAATAAATATAAAGATATCATTTAACACTTATCTCTTACAACCAACTGAGCATTGATAACCTAATAAACAACTGACCCTTGATAACAGACAAAAAATAAAAAAAGAGCACCTTAGTCTGCTTAAAATTGGCTTTACATTCAGAGTGACAGCATTATTCATGCTATCATTTCATATTTTAGCAGAGATTAACAATTGAGAATTCCAACCAAATTATAGCAAATAGAAATAGCCAAAAAGCATGCTAAATGACAATAGAAAACAATGGATAATTTTTGGGCTAATGATTGATGAATAATAACTTGTAGCAGTAGTTGTTGGCTGCTTGGCATGTTCTTTCTTTCTTCGCTAGTTTTTAAATAGTTTGCCATCATGGCCAATGAGAGCTCACTATGTCAGTTGTCAGCATTCTAGGGATGATGATAAAGAACACAAAAACAACCTAGAATTTGCAGATTGCTATAATGACTTCAATAGTGTTGTCTTCTTCTTTTTTACTACAGCAGGCTACATTAAAGGAGACAAAAACAACATATATAGAATATTTGAAATACCAGCAATCCACAGCAAAATGAGTTGCCATGTGCAAGATTGAAGGAAAAGTGGCTGCGAGATTGAGCAAGTTAGAGACTTTGACTTTGGTTAGTCGGTTCTTTGACATACGGTAAAGAATGGGAAACTCTGATGGTTTTTCTCATTAAGAATTGTGTATAACTGTATATGTACAACGGTATATTGGGCCTGAGCTATGTGAAGGAAGTTGAATCAAATACAGAATTAAAAAGCAAAGAATCAGGACCTCCGTCAACAAAGGAAATAACCAGTAAAAGAAAAAGGGAAAATATCTCAGGCAATTAAAAACCAAAGCATAGTACAAGGAAGAATTGGTGCAACGGTCATTTCCATGATCTTAGGCAAAATTCTAGGATCTAAATGTATTCATGTAATTATGCTTCTGTAGCTATATATATACATAAGTCTTGTACAGAAAATTATTATCAATACAGTTTCAGGACTCTCATTTAGTTTTGTTCTTCATTCTCTTCATGGTATTAGAGCAGAATAACATCTGCATCTGAATACTATCGTCTGTTCCCTTTTGCTACATTTGAAACTTTCTTCCATCTTCCATACTTCTTCATATTCTGGTTTGAAACAGTTTCATCAAACAATGTCAAAGAACAACACTAAGCTTACCATTCAAAGCTTCCATCAAATGGCAAGCGTAGTCTCGGTTAAGCTCTCAAAGACCAATTTTTTACTTTGGAAATCTCAGATCTTTCCTTTAATTCGGAGTGCTCAACTCATGAATCATCTTGAAGAGGAGGCATCTATAATAAATATCACAAGGAGTGGAAAAGAAGAAACAAATCCAGATTATGAGGTCTGGTTAAACGTTGATGGATTGCTCACCAGCTAGTTACTTGGAACCATGAATGAAGAAGCACTAAGTTTAGTTGTTGGCTGTGATACAACTAGCCAAATCTGGAGGTGTCTTGAAGATCATTACCTTGCCTCTACTAAGGAACAAGAAATTCACCCTAAGGGGTAGTTAACAATCAAGCGAAAAGATGGTGAATCTCTTGAAAATTTCATAAGGAAGTTCAAAGGAACCTGCAATAGCTTGGCTATAATCCACAAGCCCATCGATGACTTGGACAAGGTGTTTCAATTGTCCAGGGTTGTAGGACCATGCTATCAACCTTACAATCTAGCAATGTTGTCAAAAGGGCCACGACCTACTTTCAACCAATATATTATAGGGTTGCAAAATAATGAAAGGGAGCTGCAAGCAGCAGAGCAGGAAAACAAGGATAAAACTTCAACATATGCTCAAGTGTTTGTTGCACCAAGGGGGAGAGGTCAACGTGGTTGAGGATATGGTGGCAGAAACTTTAGCTCCAGAGGTAGAGGGTTTGTTCAGGCTAGCAACTACAACCATAATTGGTCTAGCAACAATAGAAACACTATAGCCAATAACAACCCAACTCCACAGCAAACCGTGTCACAGAAATACTAGCAGAAAAGCTTACCTTAGAGAGATGAAAGCGTGTGCCAAATATACAAAATTGTTGGACATAATGCTTTAAAGTGCTGGTATCGTTTTGACCATGCCTACCAAAGTGAAGAAATTCCTCAAGTGTTGGTTGCACTTACCATAATGGATGACAAAGACAAAAGTACCTATATTGATACTGGTGTCACTGATCATATGACCTTTGATCTAGGTAATCTCTATACTAAAAGACAATATAATGGAAGCCAAAAAGTTTTTACAAGTGATGAACTGCACTTCATATTTCTCATATTAGTTCAGCATCTATTGGTTCCTTAAATCTTAATGATGTACTTGTTGTTCTTGAAGTCAAGAAAAATCTGTTATTTGTAAGTAAGTTTATTGATGAAAATCCTTGTGTGTTTGAGTTCTCATCTAATGGTTTTGTGATCAAGGACTAGGTAACACAAGCAGTGGTGGCCAAAGGAATTAGGAAAGGACAACTTTATGCACTGGAAGAAGAAGAGAAGCATGCCCTTGCAACAATTTCAAATAAAGCCACAGATTCTGTTGGGTATCAAAGATTAGGACACCCTAATTCTAATGTGCTAAAAGCTTTAGTCATGAAAAATAGTATTGTAGTATCAAAATGGACTAAGCCCTCTCATTTATGCTTTAGTTGTCACATGGGGAAGAGTTGTAAGCTTCTTTTTAATAAAATAATGAAAGAGTAGGAGCTTTGTTTCAGAAAGTTCATTGTGATTTGTGGGGGCCTTCTCCAATTCAATCTACCAACCACTTTGTTTCTTATGTGATTTTTGTGGATGATTTCAGCAGGTTTACTTGGTTTTATCCTCTGCATAAAAAGTGTGACTTCTTTGATATTTTTCAGAAATTTCAAAAGATGATAGCAACACAATTTGATAAAAACATCAAAATTTTTCAATGCGATGGTGGTGGTGAGTTCTCAAGTAAGGCTTTCATTAATCATCTAGCAACTTGTGGCATTAAATTACAAGTATCCTGCTCGAGCACTCTAGAACAGAATGGGGTTGCAGAAAGAAAACATCAACATGTAATCGAGACAAGTTTGACCATGTTAATTCATGCTAAAACGGCACCTCATTACTGGGTTGATAGTTTCTCTACAGCAGTATTTCTTATTAATAGAATGCCTACACCTAATCTGAATAATAAAACTCCTTATTTTCTCTTATATGGCAAGTCACCTAATTATTCTATGATAAAAGTATTCGGATGTAGATGTTTTCCATATCTCAAGGATCATGCTGCTCATAAACTTCAGCCAAGGTCTTTGCCTTGTGTGTTCATTGGATATAGCTCAATTCACAAGTGTTACAAATGTTTGCATCGCTCTACACAACAAGTATATATATCAAGGCATGTAGTGTTTGATGAGTGTTTTCTTCCATATATTGATCTAACAAGAATTTCAGGAAATACTAGCACAAATGGTGAACTTTACAAGTATCCAGACTATGATGAGTGGTCACGAGCTTCATCCCATTTGCAATCCTCACGGAATCTGGATGATCATGCATCTATGACTCCACCAACTAAGCAACAGACCATGGTTACAGAAAGCACGAGAAAAGAAGAAATATAAGATAATAATGTAACAAATAAGGAAGATATTGAGCTTAAGGGAGAACAAAATAAAGAATTTGAGAGAGACAACATCTCAGCTCAAAGCACTTTGAGACCCAACAACCGGAACTCTCCTTCAAGCTCAATTAATCCTTTATCTACAAATGGGATCAATCCAAGTCTGGTACAAGTTGCTCAAGAAGAATCAAATTTTGTTGAATCTTCATAGGAATCTATAAGAGTATAAGTTGCTCAAGAAGAGCCAAATCCTGCTGTGTCTTCACAAGAACCTATTGGAGTGCCCCACCATCTCATAATGCAACTTCAGCATCTACTCACCCTATGATGACAAGAACTCGTACAGGGACACATACTGGCCATGTTAAGACTTCATTTCCAAAACATGCAAACACTATGGTCACTAATAATAATTCCTATTTAAATAATGTAGGTCTGGACATTTAAGAGCCGAAAACCATCAAGAAAGCGTTACAACTCCCACAGTGGCTAAAAGCAATGCTAGAAGAATTGGATGTTCTCTACAAGAACAATACATGGACCTTAGTGCCTCTCCCCTCAGCTAACACAAACATTATGGGATCTAAATGGGTATTCAAAACAAAGTTAAATCCAGATGGAAGCGTGGATAGGTTTAAGGCACGGTTAGTGGCAAGAGGATTTTTACAAGTACCAGGGGTAGACTTTGAAGAGATATTCAGTCCAGTGCTCAAACCCACCACCCTACGGTTAGTAATTGCCTTAGCTACAACCTTATCATGGCCATTAAGACAACTAGATGTGAAGAATGCATTTCTTCATGGCTAGCTTATAGAAGTGGTATATATGAAACAGCCACTAGGATTTGAAGATCTTAATCATTCGGGTTATGTTTGCAAATTTAATAAATCCATCTATGGTCTGAAACAAAGCCCCTAGGGGATGGTTCGATGCCTTTATTCTTCATCTATTGAAGTTGGGATTCCATTATAGTCAGGCAAACTCTTCTCTATTTGTTTTTCATAATGGACAAGATTCACGTTTGCTTCTCTTATATGTGGATGACATTGTACTTACTGCAAGTTCTTCATCTCTACTGCAACATATCATTGCAAATCTTAGCAGTAAGTTTGCTCCCAAGGATCTAGGCTCTCTAAGCTATTTCTTGGGTATTGAGGTTACCTTGTTCCCTGGTGGCATATTCTTGTTTCAAGCCAAATATGGCAAGGATATTCTTACTAGAGCAACCATGCTTGAAGCCTCCCTGATTGCGACACCAATGGCAGTCAAAGAACCACATTCACCAAGAGATTAGGAACCTGTTGATGCTCAAGAATATAGGAAAATTGTGGGTGCTCTATAGTACTTAACCATTACCAGAGCTGACTTATGTTTTGCAGTTAACAAAGTCTGTCAATTTATGCAACAGCCTACCTTTTCTCACCTTCATCAAGTTAAATGCATCTTACCCTATATCAAAGGGACTTTACACCATGGCCTTAGCTTCTACTCCTCCAGTACACTATCTCTCACTGGGTTTTGTTATGCAGATTTGGCAGGATGTACCATAACGAGAAGAAGTACTATAGGATTTTGCATATTCCTTGGAGCAAATTGTATTTCTTGGTCTTCAAAGAAACAATCCACTATAGCTTGCTCCACTGTAGAAGCAGAGTATAAAGCGCTAGCATCTACTATAGCTGAACTTGTGTGGATCACTTATCTCCTCCGTGATATTGGCATTTCACTCCTAAATCCTCCTCAAGTGTTCTCAGATAATATTAGTGCTTTACACATGCCTATTAACCCTGTGTTCCACGCTTGAACAAAGTTTATTGAATTAGATTATCATTTTGTTCGAGAAAAGGTAGCACTTGGTTCTCTGGTGACAAGGTACGTTCCAAGCACGGATCAAATTGTAGACATCTTTACCAAGCCCTTACCTCACACTCAGTTTCAGTGCTTACGGTTCAAACTGGGCTTGGTGGTAAACTGGGCTTGGTGGTTTCTCCCCAATCCAATTTGAGGGGGAGTGTGAAGGAAGCTGAATCAAATACAGAATTAAAAAGCAAAGAATCAAGACCTTAGTCAACAAAGGAAACAACCAGCAAAAGAAAAAGGGAAAGTATCTCAAGCAATTAAAAATCAAAGCATAGTACAAGGAAGGATTGGTGCAACGGTCATTTCCATGATCTTAGGCAAAATTCCAGAATCTAAACATATTCATGTAATTATGCTTCTGTAGCTATATATACACACAAGTCTTGTACAGAAAATTATTATGAATACGGTTTCAGTATTCTCATTTAGTTTTGTTCTTCATTCTCTTCAAGCTATACATACGATGTGGGCCTATATAGAACATATAGTATGCTATCATACAGGACTTCAATCATTTTTTCAAGTCTAAACATTTTCAAGGTCTTACGACCTACAGGGTATTGGTGGGATTAGAAGAAGACGGGGGTATATTTCGTAACTTTGCAAGACATGATTTTGGAGCTAAACATTTAATTTTACTAAGTTTTGTTAGAGAAAACGAGGGAGTTGACTTCTTGTACTATTTGTGATTGTCAAGACGTGGAGTGCTTGTTTCACTGGAACTCATCCTGCTGATCGTTCTATCTAGTACTGGATAAGCTTGAAATTCTCCACCTGTGTTCCATGTCAAGCTTGCAAGTACTTGTGAGAGTGGAAGGAGTAGCAACTCCACAACAAGTCTTTTCCAATCTTTATATAGCGGAATGTTCAGGAATGAGGAAGTTGCTTCCACTCGAATTACGGCAAGCGCTCCAAAACTTAGAGAAGATGGAAGTTTCCAATTGTCCATACCGCCTGGGCTAACACTGACATATATTGACGTGGTAGGGCGTTTCAGTGGGCGTAACTATTGTTACCTATGTACCTCCTCTCTCCAAAGGCTGGTGTGACAGATGGGTGATCTTAGTAGCTACAGATGAGAAAAAGAAATCAATAAGGTGATCTTACTACATTAGTACCTCTATTAATGTCTCCATTTAATCACAAAATGAAATGGAGAAGGTAACAAACGGTGTTTGTCTTCTGTTCGTTATGTACAGGCTGATGCTGAACGGTGACGGTTTTATGTGCGTTTCAGGCGAAACGGATCTGTTTTGGCAAAAGGTATTTGCTGTCACTTTTCTGATATCCATACGGAGACTGACAATTCCTATGCCCTTCTATTTAATTGTCTTTTTTCTTCTCGGTACAAACTACGAATATCCAAGTGCTCGAAATCGGAAGTAATCCATTCTTCACAGAAATAGGCCTCATCACAACTTTGGTGGATTTGACACTGCCACTTCAGATCCATCAGCTCCTGATTTCTTCTTAGGAGATAAAGATGGCAGTAAGGGTTACAGGTTTCTACTTGTCCTTGCATTTTGCTGTAGATTTCTTTCAACACATGCTGAAGGGAGAATTAAAGCCATATATATTAAATATTTGTTGCACAATTACTGTCTCTATCTGGGAGTGTTTTCGCGTCTTTGTTTTGATAAATTGGGAAATAAAAGAGTCTTCTCCTATTTATTTTAGAATAATTTTGATAATTATTAACCTCATTTATATTATTAATCTCAGGCATAATATTTTTATTAGTCTTGGTAGAAACCCAGGACTCAACATCGTCCTCATTTTTAAGCCAAATATGGAACCAATCAGAATATCTACTAGATTTTCGGATAAAAAAATTCTCCCTATCGATAATATCATTTTCCCCTAGATAATTAGGGAATAGAAAATTGTGGATAGGGA